ACAGCTCCAAAACTGAAGTTAGGCTTTGGGAATGAAATTTTATGGTTTTTTTTTTTTTTTTTTTTGCCTGTTTTTRTCTTACTTCAAGGTTGTTGTGTACCAAATTTGGTCTCATTTGGAGCATTGGAATTTTATCTGATAAGACCATTTCCAAAAACGCTAAAAATTTTGAAAATTCGCTGAATCCAAAATGTCATTCAAGTGCACATTTGCCTTACTGTTTCACCCTGTTTTTATTTTATTTTTTCATTTTTTTTCTAATGGTTTGTTAATATGGTGTGCACTCTACGGAATGATGCAATTTTTGGTTAAAAAGGGTTTCTGTTTTTTTTATAAATAGCATTAAAAAAACGCTGAAATTTTGGGTCTCCGTTAACCGTCTCTCAATGACCGACAAATGCCACACCACGCCCCATGATCTCAATCTTGTTGCTATTCTTTGCTGCAACAACAGGCCTTGAGTGGAAGCATCAATATGAAGGGTGACCAGAACTCCTAGAAACCTTTCCTCCCCTTCTAAGATCCTTTTCATCCCCCATTGCACCGGAAGTTCAAACTGTGCTGGTAGAAGGAATACCGATTTATTCCAGTTAACCGATGCTTCAGACAGGGCCGAGTACTCCGTAAGGGTATCCTTCAGAGCAGACAGGGATTCGTTGGAGTTCTCACTGATGACGAAGAGGTCAGCAAGAGCCTTGACTTTGCACTGTGCAAAGTCTGTCCTTTGATTCTTTGATTTCTCCGCAGTCTGTTAAGCAGGACTTCCATCTCCAACACGAAAAGAAGTGGGGCCAGCGGGCAGCCTTGCCGCAGCAAACGTGTGAGTTTGAAGGACGCTGACAAATGTTTATTAATCATTACCGCTGACGTTGACAGCCTATATATTGCCACAATCCACTTACAGAAAGGTGTGCCAAACCCATTCTCCTCAGAGTCGTGAACACGGACGACCATCCAACTTTATCGTACGCCTTTTCTAAGTCTAACCGTAGAATGACCGTATTCATACTCTCTGACTGCACCCATTCCAATAGCTCCAACGCTGTGACTATGTTATTAAATATCAAACGCCCTTGAACAAACGCGCCCTGATCTCCTTCAACCAATAGCGCCCCAACCTTCACGTCAGTGTTTTGGCTAAGATTTTATAAGACACGTTCAACAGCGAGATTGGCCGCCGATTTCTGACTTCTGTCTTATCCCCCTTTTTGAAAAACATATTAATCACCGCATGTGTCATCCCTCTTCCCATACGGCCCCCCACTAAAACCTGATTGTACAGTTCGACCAACTTCGGACCCAATGTACCCCACGTGGCACTATAAAACTCAACAGATAGGCCATCAATGCCTGGGGATTTCCCCTTTGCCATGAACATGACTGTCTGTGTCAGTTCTTCCAGGGAGACCGGTCGATCAAGATCTAGACTAGATGTGTCTGACAATTTCACATTCGTATCCTCCCACATGTCCGAGCCGGTTGAGAGGTCCGTTGTTGGATCTTCCCGTGGACGTCTCAAAGTGAGGATATCCTCGTAGTAGAGTTTTGCATAGTGGAGCATGCCTGCAGCAGTGGCGGCATTCATGACATTGTAGTCAAAGGGTTGTCAACGTTCTACTGTATGTTGCTGAGTGCGTCGCGGCAGCAGCTTCTGAAAAGTTCCCTTCGTCATCTGATCATGACACTCGATTCCTTTTTCCCTAAGTAACTCGGCCCATCTCTTCTGCTTGTTCTTCTGGATCTTGTCCCATCCCCCCATTCTGCATTCCCTTTCTGCAACCCACACCATTGCTGATATGGGATGACCCTCTATACGTGCGTCCACTTCCTCTACTCTTTTTCTGCATTCCGCTTCCTTCACATGCCTTTCTTTCGCCAAAATTTGAAAGCACACGTCCAGGATTCGAGATACAATTGCCAATCCTCCATCCAACCACTCTGCTAAATCAACAAAGTAGTTTCTTGCAGACTCCCATCTATTCATGTGGTCATCTACCCGTTTGCTGATCCCTGGGTTCTCTAGAACCTACTTGTTCAATATGAAGAACACTTTGCCCCTCTCACACCCCTCTTGAAGTCTGATATCTGTTGTGACTAGCTTGTGGTCCGAAAGTGCACTACTTGCGTGCTTCACAATTGTTACTCTCGGCAGCAGGTGGTCACATATCAGCAAGTTGTCGAGGTGGCGTCTGGTTGGTCTATCTGATATCGAAGATGGGCCTTGGGGCAAGGGGTGAGTCTCCCTCCAATGTAGAGAAAGGTCCCTCCAGTTACAGGAGTTAACCGGGTATTGAGGACGCGGGCGGACCAGTGCCTGCGACTCGCCACCTCCCTCGGTCTGCATCTGGACTTGAAGATCACCCTCCCTCGGTCTGCATCTGCACCAAAAGTCTTCTCACGAACCACCCATCTTCGTATGCCGTGATCAAGTCTCCCTTCACTTGCCTTGACAACTGCCTTGCTCCTCCTTGGAATGTGACTATGACTGTGTGATCCTTCAACCATGCTTGAAGTTCCTTAACTACGTTGACTTGACCGTTGACCACGAAGTGTTTCCCCGCTGCACCCTCAATAACTTCCCCCAACGAAGCATCGTCCGGACAAACTCCTTGCAATCTGCCCACAGATTCTCTTAGTCTTTCCTCGGTTCTTGCCGTCACCAATGGAGTTGGGGGAATATACCTCCCGTTTGCCATTTGGTTTGCAATCCTCTTCTATCTTGGGCGGCAGCTATAAAGACCCTCTGTTTCCCCACTAATTTCAGAGTTAGGGAAAATAATTCTCCTAGGTTATCACGTCGTGCTAATCCGAGGAAGATGCACCTAGACCACTTATTCCTAGTCCGTTCAACGAGTACATCAGAAACCAGGAGAAACCTACCCTAGTCTACCCTACAGGACTACCCGAGCAACCAAGGCCAAACGCCTCTGTTGTAGCGGCGGCCATTCCCACTCTCCGTCTTAATGGCAGAGGACGTGGCTGGGCAGCACTGTCGATAACGACGACGACGGTCCGAGGCGGAGCGCTACGCTACCCGCCCGCTTCGGCCGCTCCTCCGTTCAACGCACCTTCATTGGAGTGAATTTGCCTGTGTTGTTGCTGGACATTCAGTTTCTCTTGCTTCAATATAACTGAATTGCGAGCTTGCCAAATCTGCTGCATTACCACCCCTCTGCAAACCAGTGCCACATAGCCCCATCCCTCGAACAGCGTAAATTCCGCTTTTGGAAGAATACCATACAAAATCCAATCCTTGTTCCATTCAAATTCTCCTTTGGTGTTTCATCATCTTCCAAATGCTTTGAATTCACCTTCACTGCCTACCTAGTACCTACCACTACTCCTAAGGCCTATACAGGGGACCGCTGCGAACATAGCTTTGTTGTCAAACCCCTTTTAACCCTTTCCCGTCACGAGACACCACCTTCCCTTCCTTTTTTTCGATTCACGTGCCCTTTCGATCGTCCGTCAAGATCCATGTCGAAAGGCCTCGTCACAGGGCACTCTAACGAAAAGGAAACGAGTGCATTTGCCTGCATAATGTGGAACGGTACATTCGTAGCGTTTCATAACGATGGGCCTTGCTTGACTCCTTCAGACGTGCACAGGAGGCAAAAATCATGGCGGTGCATCTTTCCATGTTCTACTGGAAGATTCACTCTCGTTTTGCACATGTCGAAAGTAGTGGAGCGAGGCTTTATACATAGTAATAGTAAACAGGCGAGTCTTTGCGGTTTCTCCGCGAAGTGCGCTCGTTTTTCCCACGTTTCGTGTGCCGTGTCGCGGGGCCCTCTCCGGGGGCAAGGTCCCACTTGCACGGATTAGGAGATTTGGGCCGTTGATCTTTGCTATCTACGGTCAGTATCTCTTAATTCGTGCAAGTGGGACCTACCATAGCCCCGGGCCCCCTATCATTGGGCCTCGGCACGTCACCAATAGCCAACATTCCATATGAATCTGAACGGATTTGCGACACTATACATTCAGAGTGTTGGCAATTGACTTGACCATGTGACATTCGAAATCGTCCACCTGAAGAGACAGACTGTCCTAACTCGGTCCTCCGTTGATTAACCTTCTGGCATTTCGTTCCCGAAAAAAGGTGGCATTTCCATCGTCGTCCACTTGTCGATCGCTGTAGTTTCTCCGCGTTCTTAGGGCGCCACCGCACGCGGAAGAACGAAGGCGAAGGAACCAGCGTGGTTCCCCTCCGTGTTTTCTTTTCCCGCCTGCCAATGTCTGGTCAGCAGGGCCCAAGTCCCACTATCATCGACTTCTGTAGGCGTAGTAGCTGCGAACGCGGTGCATCGATAGCGGCCAATTTCTGGCGATGTGTGTGGGCCAATTTCTGGAGATGTGTGGGGCGAAGTCCCCCTCACGGGTATTCCTCGTTTATAACCGTCGATTAGGAAGATCGACGGCCTGAGTCCACCATGCGGGCTTGTTTCCGACGGCCTCGAAGGTCGGAGTTCTATTTACGGGCCTCTTGTCGGGATAAAAATGGTGGTACTACTCTGCATTTGACGGTGTCCGTCGGACACGAACGTCAGGGACGGCAGAACACGTTGTTCGGGTTCTATTCCTGGATCCATAGAATAGACACTTCACTTCACAAACCCCTTTGTACGCCTGTTCCAGAAGCGGTGAGTTATTTCGGAGGTTCCAGGAGCGGCGAAAGCGGACGGGCGGCGAAGCGGCGGAGAGCGTTGCGAGGTGGCGGGAAGGTGGTCGAGGTCCGTGGCTGTAGATCTGTGATTGAACGAAGCCTGTTCTCGTGGGATGCGCGCCTATTCTCTCTTTTCCTCCGTCACGGGGGGCGTGACTTTTTCCTAACTCGTCAGCGCAGAGGGCACGACACAGGGGTGTTCTCCATCGTATCGTGAAAGTGGGGAGGATACTCCATAGCCATAATATAGATCGAGATATACCGTTGATTTTCTTTTATAATCTTATTAGTTGCTTCCGGTATTCTTACAGGCGGCGAGGCATTTGGGAGGCGTTCTGGAAGTAAGCCGCTTGGCTGAGTGGCTTTTGATGAGATTGATCGGACGGGATCGGCGGAGTGGTCTTTGATCCAGCCGGATGCCCATGATGAAGGATGGTCGTGATGGAGACCGTGCCCCTCTCCATGGCCGCGGCGGTGAGGCGGCCGTAAGGAGTGGGCGGAAAGGCGTGAAGTGGTGTTTCATAACGGCCTGCGTGCTTGCCCTAGTCGTTTTGTTTATCGTCGCGGTTGCTGTCGGTGTCACGAGGCACAACGGTAAGAAGGGCGGCAACTCGCAAAACGCTGCGTTGACGGTTGGCGACGCTGTGAATAACACGTGCACAGGGGCCGATGATGCCGATCTGTGTGTGCAAACCCTCCTTGCGAGTGTCAACCAAAGCGACCTGAGCGTCAACAGCACAGTGGACTTGAAGACGATCGCTTCCTTCCCTCTCCGGCTTCTGAATGCTACGCGTTCGCAAATGACCGTCGTGCAGCAGGGGATTGACGATCTAGTCCTCAGGGCGCGCAACACCTCCTGGGAGGCTGCCGCTCGCGCCTGCAACGCCAGCTTGTACGACAGCCTCCCGCTGCTGGAAGGAATCGTCAATGCTACGGACGAGAAGGACTACGACGCCGCCAAAGAAGGGCTTGCTGCGTTGAGAACGGAGACGGCGGATTGTGCGGAGGCGCTCTTCGAGGCGCTGAACCTCACCTTCAATGCTACGAGCTCGGCGGACTCCGTCGATGCGTCGTTTACCACGGCGGACGGGTTGTTCTCCGGAACCCTCGGGGCGACGTTGTACAACTCCACGGTGGCGTTTTCGTTCCATTTGTCGAACGCCTTGACAGTCGTCAAAAACGTGGGCCAAGGTGCGGGAGCGGTGGGGGGGAGGCGGAGGCTTTACCGAAGGAGACTCCTTGCTCAGGCGGAAGTCGATCGCAACGTCCAGCCAGACTTCGTTGTCAGTCCGAACGGCGATGCGGAATTCAAGAAGGTTCAGGAGGCAGTTAATGCGGCAGTAGATCTTCGGTCTCGGAAACCAGACAGGCGGATCGTGATCAAGATCAAGGCAGGCGTGTACAGGGAGAAGGTTCTCGTTCCCAAGGACCTCTGGGGGCTGACGGTCATCGGCGAGGGACCCTATAGATCCATAATTAGGTGGAACGATTACACGAATCCAATGGGCACGACCGGGCTGCGCACAAGGGAGACGTCCACCTTCGCCGTGGAGGGCCGCGGATTTCTTGCTATAGACATGACTTTCGAGAATGACGCCGGCCAGAGCGCCACCGTGCAACAGGCCGTCGCTCTCCGCGCGTCTCTCCGAAGTCTGAGCAAAAGGGAGAACGCACTGGGGGACGGGCTAGCGGCTTTCGTAGGGTGCCATTTCCTGGCTCATCAAGACACCTTGTATTCCCACAGCGGCTGGCAATACTACTACCAGTGCCGCGTCGATGGAACGGTCGACTACGTCTTCGGCAACGCCGCCGCCGTGTACCAGGATTGCGATCTCAACAGCATTCGCACGAACGGGACTAACACTGTCACCGCGCAAGCACGCACGAGCGAGAGCGAGCCAACTGGGTTCGTGTTCCGTGGTTGCAGGGTCGATAAGGGCAGTGCCGACCAGCACGTCTTCATGGGTCAAAACCATCCTTATCGCTTCGTGTATCTGGGCCGTCCATGGAAGCCGTTCTCTCGGGTCGTCTTCATGTTCTGCGAGTTGGGCGGCATCGATCCCAAGGGCTGGATGATCTGGACGACGGTGGGCAAGGGTTCTGATAATCACGAGACCGCACAGTACTATGAATACAAGAACTCGGGCCCCGGTTCTGCCACAGAGCAGCGCGTCCGGTGGAGCCGTAGTTTAACGGACGCGGAGGCGGAGGACTACACGGTGGAGAACTTCATCCATGGAGGTGAATGGCTCGCTCAGATCGGTGTGCCGGCCAAGATCTGGGGGTAATTCCGACGAAGGGTTATATGACTGTCGTGACGTTCTGTCAAGCAGATGGTAGGTCGCCATCACTTGAAGCTTTCACCCACCTACCTCGGCTTTTGGTTTAGCTACCTGCTGAATTCCGTTCTTTTGTTTCAGTTAATGCACACTGTCAAATGTATCGCGAAGGGATCGCATCGGGGGGGGGGGGTAATTATTTGGAAGAATTATCGGCAGGTACTGGTCCTTGACTCATCGTGAATAGGAGTGTATGCCCACTGCACACTTTTCTGTTACTGTAGAGAACGCGATCTCTATCAATGGATGGATGGAACTCTTTCCTTTGGGTAGGAGAGCGGTTTTGGGCCTTTTTTGCTTGTAGACGTCTACGGTTTTCTATGTGGCGGAACGACAGACTCTTTGCCTTAATCGAGATCCTAAGTGAATTACTTCTGGGTATCGTTCTTCCATGTAGCCTTGTAGGTTTTACTGATAAATGTTTATTTAGAAGTATACAAGATCCGATCTTGAGTTAACGATGTATCCTCGGGACGCTGGACCCGGTTTCCATCACACGGATCTCCTTACGAATAGGTTCCAGCGCACGGAGCGACTATGGTGCCGCTCCATTGAGAGGACGAGGCTAGCTCCTCCCTCCAATGGTGATCCACCATATGATGATGCTAGGGGAGTGTGGGTGCGGTCATGATTAAAGAAGCTGCCGCAGAACGTACCTCGCAAATCGTATCGAAATCGTCAGCGGATCTCATCGGTGACTTGGGTTTGACCCCAGGGTCGTAGGGCTCAAATTTAATTTAGTTGTTTTAGGTCGTTTTGGATTCATTCGGGGCAGATTCCAGCTAGGGTTATGTGTCAACGGTATGAGTTGTCCTTTCATTATTTATCAGAAGATTGATTCTTTGCGATTTGCCATTGTCCTGTTATTAGACGATTGTCCTTCATTAGAAGTTCCAGAAGCCCGTGCGGCAGCGGTGCGTGACTGTTGAGCCTCTCGCTTGCAGCATTCCGTTTGGCAAATGCATCGCGTACTCTTGGCCCGCTATTCTGCCGTGTCGGCGGATTTATCTGCTGCTCATGTTGCTTCGGCAGTTGTCCAGTGTAGCTTCAATCGACTACCTGCTACCGTCTTCCCCCGAATACAACGTACTGTCATTATAGCTGTATCTAGACTGAAAGATGCCTCAAATACAGCTACAATGACCGTACGTTGTATTCGGGGGAAGAAGGTAGTGGCGGAGTGATCTGCGGGACATAGACGCGGCCTATGGGACATCAAGGGACGAGTGGGATAGCGAGGGACCTATGGGGCGGAGAGCGATCTATGGCACATACAAGCGGACATATGAGACAGAGAGGAGGTTACAATGCTAAAATCGGTTCCTTCTCTCTTGACTACTTATCTTCTAGTGAGCAAGTCACTGACGATTATGGACCTCACTAAGGTACGCGTGGGATAGCGAGGGAGCTATCGGACTGAGAGCGATCTATGGGACAGACACCGACATATGAGACAGAGAGGAGGGTAGGAGTCCTGAAATTGCTTCCTTCTCTCTTGGTTACTTACCTTGCAGTGAGCAAATCACTGGCGATTATGGATCTCACTAAGGAACGAGTGGGATAGCGAGGGACCTATGGGATGAAGAGCGATCTATGGCGCATACAAGGGGACATATGAGACAGAGAGGAGGGTAGAAGTCCTGAAATTGGTTCCTTCTCTCTTGGTTACTTACCTTGCAGTGAGCAAATCACTGGCGATTATGGATCTCAGTAAAGCTATCGGTACAGGTGTTCGCTTCATTGAGCTGTCGCTTGCTCCAGACGCGAGCCTGTAGGGTTGCTTTCCCGCGTTCGTGCAAGAATTGGGACTCCTGTTTGCATAGAGAGAATGTCTGGAGTAGTAGAAGAACAACTGGGGTTCAGTCCGGGCATCTTTGACTGTCAAGCATTGATGCACGATGGTCTGCTGGCAAACCCTCCGTCAGTGTGCAGGATGCCATCAGCCTCAGGTGCTGAATGGCCTCCGGGATGGATGAATAGGCGGGTGATGAGTAGGAGCTGAAGATCGCGGAAGTAGTGTACGGTGGGATTTATTTGATGTCAATCTCCTTAGCAATAAGCATCTTCCTTGTATTCATCTGCCAGCGCTCCAGCGCTGGTTGTAGAGGCAGACATAGGCGGCATACCGGCTTTGGACCGGGGTGAGTGAATTGGAAGTAAAAATGCCTTAGGTTACTTGTACAGCTGCATTCGTCTAATATTTCGGTGCTTTTTTCTCTCCTGTAATGTTGGTATTTTGCGGTCCAGGGATGGGTAATCACTCCTGTGTTGCACGGGTTCAATCAACCAAGTAAGAGTGTTTAAACGCTCGTAAGGTTCTAGGATGCACCTCATATTGGTCGTTTGCTGGTGTACTGCGTTTTATGGCATTTCTGAACGAAACTAAAAAAACGCGTTTTATGCCATTTCTGAAGAAAATTGGTAGCAGCGCTCATTTTGCTTGTTTTAAGAGCCTACGCCAAACCTCCATACAGAGTTACGGGTCCTGCTTCCTCGTTCTCTTCCTCAAACAACCTTCTGGCATCTGCAGATGCTCTTGTTCTGTGATAAACGGGCTCAGGACACGGTTTTCGGCCTTCGTTCATGTTGATGGTGTGTGTGTGTGTGTGTGTGTGTCTGTGTGTGTGTGTGTGTGTGTGAGAGAGAGAGAGAGAGATGAAGATAACTTTTTTTTTCGATGGCGATAATGGCCGTGCTTTCTATTCTTGGGGAACACGGGTTATCTTGCCAACAGAATTGGTATGTGCATCATTTCTGATCATTTCTTCGACTAAGGGAAGGGCTCATCACACTTGGAAACATCAGTTTGAACATGTCAGCAAACGCCCTGAAGGTCTATTCTTTTTCGTTCTTTTTTGGGTTAATAGCAAAAATATTGCTCCTTTCCAAGTTTGGCAGCAAAAATGTCGTCCGTTCGAAGTTTCCTTTGCAAAAATAGAGGTTTCGTTGCAGCTTTATCGGGTTCCCATAGTTTGCCAGCAAAAATACCGCGTTTTGCCCTAGGCCTCTGGCCTCAGGGACTCAGGGACTCAGCGTTCTGGCCTCAGGCAGTCAGCGTTTTTTTTTTTTTTTTTTCCTCCCCTCGGGCATGGCCGACGCATCTGGGCGTGCCCACGGCCGAGATGCCTCGGCCACGGCCACGGAAAAAAAAACAAAAAAAAACAAGAAACGTAGCCGAGGCATCTCGGGCGTGGCGACGGCCGAGATGCCTCGGCCATCGCCGCAGAAGGGAAAAAAAGAAAAAAAAGAAAAGAAAAAAAAAAGAGAAAAGCTTGAGTGCCTGAGGCTGGAACACTGAGTCCCTGAGTCCCTGAGGCCAGGGGCCTAGGGGTCCTTTGCTCTGAAACTTGGCAAAACGCGGTATTTTTGCTGGCAAACTACGGGAACCCGATAAAGCTGCAACGAAACCTCTATTTTTGCGAATGAAACTTCGAATGGACGACATTTTTGCTGCCAAACTTCGAAACAGCAATATTTTTGAAATTAACCCTTTTTTTTTCCGGATCTTTTGCGTAACTTTGACTTTGTGTTTGTTTTTCTTGGTGAACTTCGGGTAGAGGGCCCAACTTTGAGGCTGTTACAAGAGCATTGTTAAATGAGGCCCGAGTACGAATGGACCAGGCTATTGATGGGGAGCAGCACCTGCTGGAAACTGGGCCCAGTGTGTTCCAGTATATGTACAAAACCGTCACCTTAGTCGCCTGCCGCAGCGACCTGATTAACCTCTTAAGAAATACCGTCTTCCCCCGAACACAACGCACCATCATTTTGACTGTATAGGGCCTGAAACATGCCTTGCATACGTTCATGTTCAGGGTGCGTTATGTTCGGGGAAAGACGCTAGCTATGGTTATCCCTAGGTCATCCCTCAGCTCGTCTCCGCTTTTCTGTATTGCGAGTAATATTTCCAAAAAAATCTTTACCCCTGGGCAGAACGGCAAAACGGGTAACTCCAAATTCTTTACCCCTGGGCAGAACGGCAAAACGGGTAACTCCAAATTCTTTACCCCTNAAATTCTTTACCCCTGGGCAGAACGGCAAAACGGGTAACTCCAAATTCTTTACCCCTGGGCAGAACGGCAAAACGGGTAACTCCAAATTCTTTACGCCTGGGCAGAACGGCAAAACGGGTAATTTCAGTTTCTTGCCGCGATTCCAGAGAGTAGTTTCACTGTACGCCCTTCGTTTTGCCCTTTGTGGATTGCTGTAGGACTTTTCCTTGCAGCACTCTGTTTGCATTTTGTACTTCTGCTACAAAACTGTCCTCTCTGCAAGCCTTACGTGGTGCGGACTTGCTCCTCCCGCCCTGCATTCTCAGTGGGCGTTCGATGAGGGAGGGGAGGGAGGGAGGGGAGGGAGGGGAGGGAGAGAGAGGGATAGGGGTGGAGATGAAGGCTGGATCAGGCGTGTGTCTGAGACGGAATGGGTGGCAGTGGTCACTGAGTAGTAGGAGGAGACGGCGAAAATGGCAGGGGTGCAGGCAACGGAGGAGAGTCTGGTTGCAGATTGCAGAAGGCAAGGTAGGAGTGGACACGTGCGGACTCGCTCCTCCCGACTTGCATTCTGGGTGTTCGATGAGGGGAGGGAGGGGAGGGAGAGAGAGGGATGGGGGTGGAGGTGGGGGCTCGATAAGGGGGTGTGTCCGAGGCGGAATGGGTGGCAGTGCTCACTGGGTAGTCGAAGGGGGGACGGCGAAAATGGCAGGAGTGCAGGCAACGGAGCAGAGGGTTTGGTTAAGGGGAGCAGAAGGTGCGGTAGGAGTGGACGTGTCACGTGTCCTTAACGGACTCGGAGCTAAAATGGCCAACGGTGGACACGGAGATGGAGATTAGGTCCTTGAGAATGGGGGAGGGAGGACGGGATCCTTGCAGGGAGTGAGCCTGTGACCGGATGTCGTACTGTTTTTCTGATGATTGTTGCCTATCTCTACGTATATGTCGTGATTGCGACTGTATAGCTGACCGGCGGTTGTTACTGTATCGCTGACTCCTGCCGTAGTCCGTTCTCTGTGGCTGTGGATCTTGACAGGTGAATGTAATTGCCTTCGCCTTGTCTCCCGGCAAGGGAAGACTTTGAAGTACTGGTGGTAAAAAAAAAGGGGAAAAGCCGAGTAGAAAAAAACAGGAAAAGCCTAGTGGGTCCAAATGTGCGCTTGAGGGCGCCCATTCCTTTGAAATTCCGTCCTTTTTCTTTTTGCGGCAAGCAAGTTCGAGTCGAGATATCGTCGGCAAGCACGTTTTAGTGACGATATTGCCCACCTGCTATATATCAGGTATCACACATGCTGGTGGGTGCAGGCTCCCACATGTTCCCTCGTTGGAGGCTTGTGCATGGATGTGGCTGCTATGGGGTTCCCCATCATACTCCAATGACAATAGAAAAGTATGAAAGGCGGTGCTGTCCTGCTAAGGGGTAACATCAGATATCCCTCGAATACAACACATCCTCACCCAACCCTAAAGCTGGGTTGGATACATTCACGATTTTCCTGGCTTTGGAGCAAAATTTGCCAAACCTTGACTGCGCCCTAAACACGCACTGAGTTAGTGAAAACACAGCACGACTTTTGAAAGAGACGGGCTCAGTGTTTTTGCAGGCCAGGGGCCATGGTGTGCAGACTGCGGTTTAGGTTTTTTTTGGCCCATTCGAAATGTGCCGAGTTAATAAAAACACAGCACAACTTTTGAAACAGACGGCTCAGGGTTTTTTGCAGGCTAGGGGCCATGGTGTGCAGACTGCGGTTTTATGTTTTTTTTTTGCCCATTTGAAACTCGTGCGGATGACTTTGTTTTGGAACTCGAGACCTGATGCGGCTGCACTTGTTTCTTTCTTTTTGTATTGTCGGGTTTTTCGTTTTTTCGTCTTTTCCAGTACCTCTGCTAGTGTTGGGCAATTACATCAAAAATCCCTTTTTGTCTTGTCTAGTACCTCTGCCAGCCACCATGCCGATCCAGCAGCGCGTCGACGTAGTCACCCAAATGCCAGCGCAAAGCCAGCGTCCAGCCAGCGTCGTCGTCAACACGTAAAGTCAGCATTGACGCAAGACTGAATGAATGTCAAAGTCAGGAAGTCAGCGCTTATGTAGCGTTGACGCGGGGTCTGGACCCCTGATGCTGCATCCCTCAGCCGTCAAGATCTTAGTGCAAATTCCCTCTGGCCTTGATGGTGTCTGGGTACCTGCGCACAACAAGTGAGTGTATTCGACCAAGGGCCTGGGTGTGGTACCTTTGACCTGACAGTTGACTTAGACTTTTGACTTTCCTAGGGCAGTGCGTGGTCACACTGCCTGGTGCAGGCCGAGTTTGGCCTGCATCGTTTGGGCTCCGTTTCGAGGGCCCAGACTGCTGCAGAACACGGGTTACTGCACTGATGCTTTCCCCACATCAGTGATGGAAGATGATGATGATGACGACAGACCCGGCAGACAGTCTGTTGTGGTTGTGGCCTACAATTGTTGATGTACTCCACTTGCTCCCTCGAGCCTCGCTGAGACGGTGGCTGATGCGTCGAAGTGGATGTTTGTGGGAGGATCTCCTTGGGATAATTGGTAGAAAGAGCCCACGCCAAAACCTTTTCGGTTTTGGCCGCCCAAAGTTCGGCTGTTTGGTACTACCGGCCCAAACAACTTTCCCCTGGGTGAAAGCCGCCTTCGCGCCATGGCCACATCTCCCTGGGCCTGTTTTTACCGGTTCAAGAATTTGGCGCTGTTTCGGCTCCAGATTCATGAACCGGTAGGGCCCTTCTTTTTCAAAATTGCGTTGTGGGCCTCATTCGATACTTCAGCGTACCACCGCCAGCCTCTTTTACATCAAAATAAATCTGGCGCTGTTATGCGCCAGATTCATGATCCGGTAGGGCCCTTGGAGCGACGCGTGGGCCTGTAGTACGCCACATGCAAGTCATTGGGCCGGTAGTGCCAAACGGCTAAACTTTGGGCGGCCAAAACCTCTACCAATTATCCCGATCTCCTTCCTAATGATGATGCAGAGAACAACCACTACATCAGCCTTTATTTGAATGTGATGCTCCACATTTGATTGCCTTCTGCGAAAGGTCGGTCCGCGGTTAGAGAAACAGGTGACAAGATTCCGCGTCCCTCTTCCACCTGCCAAAAAACTTGCGTATGCTATCCACAGGTGGGCTGATGGCGCTGCTCTTCGGCACAGTTATGGGCT